AGCTTCTGTAAATTATGGATTAAGAACACTGAATATTGTTTCTTGTGGCAAATGATTGAAGTCATTGACAATTTTATAGTTGATCAGCCAAAACTGATGGTGAAATCTATTTCAAATTAAACCTCAACATAACCAAAATCAATAGAGATACTATTATACAGAATAAAAGTTCTAGCAAATTTTTATGTGGGTTAGAAGTAGGGCAACTATAGGAATCTTTTGTCATCTGATAGGAGTAGATGACACTCAGTGCAAAAGTTTGAAATAAACTCAACCTTTTTGAGTCCAGTATATATTTGGATACAGCAGATATTATTATGTAGCCAGTTGCTTCTGAAGCCCAGGTGAACAGCATAGAACTGAAACGGGCAATACCAAAAGTGACTTATTTAAAATGGATGTATGATAGAATACATTCCTGTACTTGACTAAACAAGAAAATATTTACGGATCCATAATGCACTATGCAACATAAGACAGCAAAAAGCTACTCTTTTCAACTGAAGAACTACGCACCATGAGCCATCATGGGAGTAGAATTTGGAAAAAAAAACAGACTTTGCTATTTTGTAGGATCATTAAGTACCATCTCTCTCAGACAGAATTATTTCTCAACTGTTCCTTAAACATCCCAAATTGAAATTCAAACCAAAAGACAAACAGAATGATTGTCCTGTCTCCTATCCATAATATATAATGACATAAGCAGAATCGTATTGCTATTAAAATTTAATTACAACACAAACTATATTGTTAATGAAAACCATCAACGAGACATTTCCAAAACTGTTCAAACATAATGTCCTCATCTGGTCTGGCCACCTGTGATTCTAGACCCACAGCAATGTGATCGACTCTGAATTGGCCAAGCAAGATATTCAGTTTTCAAGAAGGTGAGCCTTCTCAGGGAAATTAGGAATGGCCAATAAATGCTGGGCTTTCCAGTGTTGTCACACTGAATGGGTACAAAAGATATTGTATCGAGCTTTATGTTATATTAGGAACTGCAGAGGGTCCCCGATTTACAAATATCCTACTTACGAATGCTCATTTTGTGACTGCGATCCCATAAAGTTTTGTAATTTTAAAGACCCGGCATATGAACATTTCCTGTAATTACAGACAACTGCTTTCCATTGTCCTGACATGTGTTCTGATTTGCATACAATTCAAACTGTGAACAGACTCCAGATGGAACCATTTGCGACGCAGAGACAGCTTGTATTTAACTTTTAAAGGGGATTTGTATAAAACGGAAACACTTAGCTTTCGTCAAAATAGTCACTAAAATGTACTTACAACTTTTATTACGAAAGCAAATAGTTTTAGGCTCAAGTCTAAAAATAGTTCCTTTGTGATTAACTCTGGGCAGTGGTTTTAGCCTGTGCAAATTGGTTTGTGATATTCCTGTGATGAACATTGCATGCATTTTTCTCTAGGCAATTGATTACAATCAGGCTTAGATCTGAGATATATTAACTGGAATGCAAGGGCAATAAAAATGCAAGTTTACATTATTACAATTGTAATAAAAATGAATCCTTAATATGCAACTTTCATTGTTGTGTGTCTTGTGGTGTCTTGTGGTCCCTACCTCTGAGTCACACCACTCCATTCACACCATTATACTATCTTTTGATCTCTCTGACTATAAATGTTGTGCTTGTACGCTTCCCTTCAGTTTGCCTGATGAAGGAGCTGCGCTTCAAAAGCTTGTGATTTCAAATAAACCTATTGGACTATATCCTGGTGTCATGTGACTTCTGACCTTGTCCATCCCTGTCCAACACCAGCATCTCCACATCTGAGCCAGGAGACCAGGGTTGAAGTCCCACCTGATCCATCAATTTGTACTAGAATCTCTGAACAGGTTGTTTAAAAATATCCTCAACTTTCATCATTTGACTTTAATATCTGATACTTCCATGCAGAAAAATATGGGTTTAAAAATGGACACTTTTTAGATCAAAGTGCCTGCTGTGATCACCTGACAAGCCCAGACAACCCACATGGAATATGTGAAACCAGCTGCTTCAGAATTAACATTTTAATCAAGAAGCTCTGAAATTCAGTAAGGCGTCAAATAATTTGCATCTCTTACTCATACTTACATGATAACTGCACATTGAAGATGACAGACTCACTTTGCCACTTAGCCAGTTGAAAAAGACAACAAACAGACTCAAATATGCAAACAGAACTATATCAATAGCTGTTTGAGACAACAAAACAGAGGCAAGGAAAAATAAGGATAGTAAGAACTGCCGATGCTAGAGTCAGAGATAACACAGTGTGGAGCTGGAGGAACACAGCAGGCCGGGTAGCATCAGAGGAGCAGGAAAGCTGATGTTTCGGGTCAGGACCCTTCTTCAGAAATGGGGGAGGGGTAAGGGAGCTCTGAAATAAATAGAGAGAGGAGGGGTGGGGCTGGGGAAGGCAGTTGGGATGGTGATAGGTGAGTGCAGGTAGGCAGTGGTGGGGATTGGTCGGTGAGGTGGGAGGAGCAGATAGGTGGGAGAGAAGATGTACAGGTCAAGGAGGCAGGGATGAGAGGGGCTGGGGAAGGTAGGTGGGATGGCAATAGGTGAGTGCAGGTAGGCAAGGAAAACTAGGTTTGTAAACAAGAACTGGGAGACACTCTCTCTTTCTCTACCTGTCTCTCCTGGTCTCTCAGTATCAGGAGCCCACTGTGGTGAATAGACAATTTAGTTTAATAGTGCTGCATAACATGGAAGAATTTAATACAGTTTGAGAGGGAGAAACTTGGTTCAGAAATAACTGTGCTCAACTTAAATAAAGGCAGAGTTAAGTGAAATGGAATGGGAACAGAGTTTAGCAGCAAAAGTTTAAGCAAATAGTTCATGGCTCACAGGAAAGATATACCCCAGCTGGAAAGTAGAATTCTCGGAGGTGGAAAAGCCAGCTATGGTTAACCAGGGAAGTTGGGGACAGCATCAAATTGAAAGTAAAAACATACAATATGACAACAATGAGTGGTAACCTAGAGGATTTGGAATGTTTTGGTCATCTTTTATTGGTTTTTAAAAGAGTAATTGGGTAACTAGATAAATTTGAGAGTGAATTTGAAAGTAATACCAAGATGGACAGCAAGAACTTCCCTAAATGTATAAAAAAAGAAGAGAGGCCAAAGTGAACACTGCCCCCACTTAGAGAATGAGGCTGACTCAATAATAATGGTGAGCTACAAAGGTAGTGGATGAACTGGTACTAGGGGATTGGAAAACTGCCAATATAACACCTTTATTTAGAAAGGGAAAGAGACAAAAATAGTCATAGAGATTTTACAGCACAATTAAGGGCCATTTGGCCCATTGTGTCTGCACCAGTCATCAGGCATCTATCTATTCAAATGCCATTTTGTATGATTTGAAGCGTAACCATGTATACTACGGTTTTTCACGTGCTCACTTAAATAATTCCTAAATAACTTAAGGGTTCCTGCTTTTACCACCTTGTTAGGTAGTGACTTCCGGATACCCAATACTCTCTGGGTGAAAACATATTTCCTAAAATCCATTCTAAATCTGTTGTTCCTTACCTTAAAACTTAAAGCACTGCCTGAAAGTGTGTTCAGGCAATTTCAATTGAGGCATTCAAGATAGCATTGGATAATTATTTGGATAAAAAATAAGATGCAAGGATTTGGGGATAAAGCAGGAGATTGACACTGCATAATGAGACTTTTTGAAGAGCAGGTGCAAGCACAATGGGCCAAATGGCCTTTTTCTGTGCCATCAGACTTTTGTGATTCTGTGATTCTATTTGCCAAAAAGGAAACAAAAATATTGTTGCGTTGATCAAGGGCAGGTAAGAAACCGGAGAGATGATCATCCCTCCTCAAGTGATAGTGGCACGCTGTCCATAAACTATTATAGTCTATTTATGGAAACAATTGCCAAGCTATTTGCTTGAGAAAATGTATTGAAAAATGAAGAAATAACTGCTCTGTTTCAAGTCTCATTTCCTAGCAAGATAATTCCCCTTCATTTTCTTTCTAGAAAAACTGAATCCAACAATTTACTTATTTCCTTAGACTCAGATTCCCAAAAAGAAAAGACTGCAGTGAGTAAAATGCCTTCTTAAGGTTTTATTTGTGCAGCAAAGCCTTCCTTGCACAGCTTATAGAACACAAATAGCAACACAAATAGCCAATTGCATTTTCATATCACTTCTTAATGGAAGCACAGCCTCAGCCACACCACAGTGCACTGAGGTTGGAAGTAGCATGTGGGGGATCATCAAGTCAGACCCATAGTCTGTTACAAAAATAACTTCTCATGTTCAGCAATTCTTTCTCAACAGATTCGCCCAGCAAGGTGAGTGTCTTCCAAATTTCAGTTGGCATCGTCATTCTCTCACCCCACTGGCAATCACCTGTATAGCACTCTTCTGAGTAACATGCCTTGCAGTTAGACATGTTCCTCTTCTTCAAACTCTTGCCCAAATCTCCACCTCAACAGATCATACTCACACTCATTTGTTGAACCTCTACCTCACAGTTACCCTCCTCAAATGCCTACCATCCATTCCGAGTGATTCTTTTGATTCGCTCATAGGATGTAGGCATCACTGACTGGTCCAGTACTTGTTGCCCATCCCTAGTTGCTCTTGAGAAGGTAGTGGTGAGCTGCCTTCTTGAACTGCTGCAATTCATGTGCTGCGGGTAGGCCCACAATACCATTAGAGAGGTAATTTCAGGACTCTGACCCAGCGTCAGCGAGGGAACGGTGATATACTTCCAAGTCAGGATGATGACTGGCTTGGAGGGGAATATCACAGATCATGGTGCTCCCATGTATCTACTGCCCTGGTCCTTCTAGATGGAAATGGTTATGAATTTGTCAGGTCCATCTAAAGAGCCTTGGTGAATTTCTGCAGTGCAACCTGTACATGGTGCACACTGTTGCTACTGACAGTTGATGGTGCAGGGAGTGAATCATTGAACTCCAAAAATAAAGTTTGCCTTTTCCTCATGACAGGACAAGAGAACAAAGAACAGTAAAGAGCCAGCAGACATGGATTCAGCTGGGGCTGCCCTGATCTCAATGCAGGAGGAAGATCTGAAGATCAGCAAGAAGACGGAAGTACATACCTTTGCTGAGATGCGCCCCTAAGGGCTATGGACAGCATAAACTATCACACTACCACTAAGCACTGAGTTCCCACTCATGTTGAACCTATGTCATTAAAGGCAACTAGGGATGAACAGCAGAAGTTGGCCTTGCTAGTGATGCTCACATCATTATGGATAAATATTTTAAAAGATAAATAATATACAAAATGTCATAATCTTCCTATGTTAAGCTGAACTCCATTTCACTGAGGTTCAGCACTAACTCATGTCTCTTTGTGAACTGAGCAAGCAATCCACTTCAAGACTGCTGGAACCAGAGGGTAGCAGGACATAGAAGTAATAGAAAACAAATTAGGTAAATAACTTTATTGTTCAAAGAGAATCACTTGGGTGCATAGTAGAATGTTAGAATGACATTAATACCTTCATTTGAATTAAGGACTAGTTTTTGGGAACTACTTATTGTTATGATCACAGCTTTGTTGGATTCCCTCATTGACCCTGGTCAGTTAAATTCTAGTGAATGGCATTAGTGTCCTTGATGAGGAGATAAGGCTAAACATCTGATAGTTGGCCCTGTGCCTGTAGGGAGGAGTTTTTTTCTGCTGTGGGGCAAGTGTTTGCATAGGACCCAACACGGGAAGGATTCAATGCTGCAAGCTGATCTCTCAGGTTAAGCGAGTCTGGCTGAGATCACTGTTGGCTTCTCTGGTGGATAGCTTTGCAGCTGCACCCACCAACAGCATTCAGAATGCTCCTCCTGCCCCTTCTCTGAGGATGGGGGGCTTTAATTTACCCTCATGTCAACTTTCTCTGCAATGCCTTTTCTCAGGCATATTAAGGGGCACCTCCTGTTCAATCAAGGCAAAGAAGCCTTAGTTTGAGAAAACCAATAACTTCCACTCTGTTGGTCCGTGTACGCCAGTTGTACCTTGCTCTGTGCCTCACAGTTAGGGTTTCTCACTGGTAATATAAACCAGGCCTCAGGTGGTTATACCTGTGCCGCACAAGTCACTTACTGAGGCTGTTTGATTGGGGAGAAGAGCAATAGAACCTAAGACCACTGAAGAATGAATACATAGCAACCCACTGGATACCTGCTGCACACTGGCATTATCCTCTTGGAATGGGCACATACCAGCCCCACAGTAAAAGGATGAAATGTTAACTCTGTTTCTCTCTTTACCACTACTGACTGACCTGCTGAGGTTTTTCAACTTTTTTTTTAGTTATTTCAGATTTCCAACATCAACAATATTTTGCTTTCAGCCCCTGTTTATTCAACTTACCTTCTTCATAAATCCCACAACGATTCCAACTTTCACCTTACCCCAGAGCAACAGAGCCAGGCTAACAGCCAGGATCTTCTGCATTGTGTGTTTTACTGAAAATATAAATCAGAGTCTCACATTTCTGATGTCTAATTAGAAGCACACAATACAACAATTCCACTTAAAATGATGTACCTTGGTGTTACATCATCAGTTTGAAGCATATTTAACAACTCTAGTACAAGCACAATGTAAACTAATAATATAACTAAAGCATGATGGCGCCTTGATTCAACTTTTCATTTGAATGTAAGGCAGATATGAGAACCTTTAAAGGTGAATGAGTTGCATTTATTCAAAAACACTTCTGTAATATTGAAGTACAAATAACATTGTATAACACACACGTACATATTATCTGTGAAGTATAACTCAAGTACGATGACGTTCACCCTTTCAAATATACCTGAGTATGTGTGTGGTATATGTAACAAAGTAGCTTCATTATCTGGCTGAACCTTGAAGCAAAAAGACAGCATATAAAACAAGTAGGCTGATAGGATAAGTATCTTTTTTGCTAGGTAATGATATCAATTCTATCATTAGTATTCCTTACAGCACGTGTTTCCCTTGAGCCATTTCTGCTATTAGTCTACTTTTAGAGTTTGGCATTTATACAGCTCAGTAGAATACCTTAAGCAAATAAATGTATAATTATAGAAGGATCTATCCCAAGCTTTTGTAAGTTTTCACAATTGAGAGATATGAAAGAGCTAATACACCTAGATCTAGTCAGCTAACACATCTTAGAGATAATCTGTCAGCACTTTCTCCTTAAACAAGGATTACAGGATTATTTTTCTTTCTTACGTATTTTGCCATTTACTGCTATAGAAATTTCTTGTCACCATGAAGTTTTTTCAGGTTGGTAGCTCGGATAAGTTTATTTGCTAACTGCTCCTTAACAAATCTATGATTTGAGTTGGGTGGGGAAGCAGTTTCCGGCAGTACCAGAGAAAATGATTACACCCTCACTGCAGTGAGTAATCCATCTATTCACCAGCATGGCCAAAAAATAAAGAAGTTCCTTAAAAAAAATGAGAGAGCAAAAAGCGCAAGAATTCCAGTTGCCAATGATCTGGTCAGAGGTTAAATATTCTACTTTTGGTGCTGCCAAAATACGCAGCAAGGCCTATTACTCATAATTTGAAATTAATGTGCAGATGATACAGTAAAAGTTGAACACAGGTGAACATTTATATATATTCAAAATTTATGTTCTATTTTGAGATATAGCATAAAAGTTGAAATAATGTAAAACTCCAACAGATGTCATTGTTGGGAAACTGGGTTGTAAAGTGTGAACCATTCATGTACTGCCAGCCTAGTGTAGCCCAGAGCAGTCCATATCATAAATAATGGACAAAAGGTGAGAATCAGCACATCTGAACTTTGTGTAAGAAGTACTGATCAATAGTAACTCCAAGGATGTTGAGAGTATGGGATGCAATGCTATTGAATGTCAAAGGGAATAAGTGAGATACTCTCATGTTGAAAATGGTCATTGTCTGGGTGTGCAGGTTTTGTTATAAAGTATTTGAGGAGTTGTAAATGGTGCTGCACATTCTCAATCTTCAGTGCAGATTCTCACTGTGACTTCATGATGAAGCTGCTGAGAATGACTGGGCCTAGGACATCACCCTAAGGAACTTCTGCAGTGATATTGTGGGGCTGAACCACAAACATCTTTCTTTGTGCTAGGTATGATTCCAACTGGTGGAGAGATATGCCCCGGCCTCCCTGTTTCCCATTCATTCCAGTGTTATCATGGTTCCTTGGTGCCACACTTAGCTGAATGCTGCCTTGATGTCAGGGGCTATCATTCTCACAACCTCTGGAATTCAACTCTTTAGCTTAGAATGAAAGCTGTCTTGAGGTCAAGACTGAGACATCCTGATGAAACCCAAAGACAGCATCAGTGAGCAGGTTATTGCTGAACAAATGGTGATTGATAGCACTCATGATGATACCTTTCATCTGCTGATGATTGGGAATAAATTGATGGGGTCACAATTCAGTGTTGGTGTAGCAATTGCTTAGGTTGGGTTTGTCCTGCTTTTTGTGTATGGGAGATACCTGGGTAATTTTCCACGTTGTTGGCTAGATGCCAATGTAGTAGCTGTACTGGAACAGTTTGGCTGGGGGAGCAACAAGTTCTGGAGCACAAGCCTTCAATACTATTGCCAGAATGTTCTCAGGGCCCACAGCCTTGGCAGTATCCACTGCCTGCAATCGTTTCTTGATCTCACATGAAGTGAATCAAATTGAATGACAGCTCTGATGCTGGGAACCACTGGAGGAGGTCAAGATGAATCATTCACTCAGCACTTCTGGCTGAGGATGGATGCAAAAGCTTTAGCTTTGTCTTTTGCACTGGAGTGCTGGGCTCCCTTATCATTGAGGTTCAGAATATTTGTGGAGTCTACTGCTTCTGCTAATTCTTTAATTGTCCACCTCCATTCATGGCTGAATATATCCAGGACTTCAGAACTTAGATTTGATCCATTGGCTATTGGGTTTCTTAGCCCTGTCTAATGCACGCTGTTATAACTGTTTGGCATTCAAACAGTCTTGTGTTGTAGCTTCACCTAATTTTTAGATGATAAGTTTTAGGTTGGTGAGGCCGATATTATTAATCTGGAGAGGCTTAAGAAGCAATTTACAAGAGTGTTGGTGGGAACGAAAGGTTTGAGTTATAAGGAGAGGTTGGATAGGCTGGGACTTTTTCCAGCGTAGGAGGTTGAGAGGTGATTTTATAGATCTTCATAAAATCTTGAGGGTTATAGATAAGGTGAATGGCAATGTCTTTTCCCTAGGGTGGGGGATTTCAAGATTAGGCTGCACACATTTAAGCTGAGATGAGAAAGATTTTAAAAAATACATGAGCTGCAATTACACATAGAGCGGTTCATGTGTGGAATGAACTTCCAGAGGAAGTGGTAGATGCAGCTACAGTTAGAATTTGTAAAAGGCATTTAGATAAGAATATGAATAAGTAATGTTTGGAGGGATGTGGGCCATGCGCAAACAGGTGGGACTAGTTTAGTTTGAGAATATGGTCAACATGGACTAATTGGACCAAAGGGTCTGTCTGTATCAATACAGAGTGGAGCTGGAGGAACACAGCAGGTCAGGCAGCATCAGAGAAGCAGGAAAGTTGATGTTTTGGTTTTACACCTTTCATCAGGTCTGGGCAGGGGGAAGGGAGCTCGGAAATAAATAGAGGGAGGGGGTAGGGCTGGGGGAAGGTAGGTGGGATGAAGTTAGGTAGATGCAGGTAGGTGGTTGTGGAGATATGTCATGGGACCAGTGGGTGGATAGGTGAGAAAAAAGATGGACAGGGTGTGTCAGGTCAAGGAGATGGGGATGAGAGAGATGATTGGACATGGGAAGAGACCGGGGGTGGGGAGATTTTGAAACTGATGAATGCTATGTTGAGGCCATCGGGCTGTAAGCTCCCGAGGTGGAATATGACATGTTGTTCCTCCAGATAATGTGTGATGTCACACATAAACCCGAAACGTCGACTTTCCTGCTCCTCTGATGCTGCCTAACCTGCTGTGTCCCTTCAGCTCCACACTGTATTGACTCTGACTCCAGCATCTGCAGTTCTTGCTATCTCCAAGGGTCTGTTTCCATGCTGTATGTTTCTATGGCTATATGACTCAATGAATCAAGGTTAATATCCTGACTTGATTATGACAGAGTAGTGAACATGCGTGGCCATGACTTGATTATGACAGAGTAGTGAACATGCGTGGCCATGACTTGATTATGACAGAGTAGTGAACATGCATGGCCATGAG